AATAGAAGGTGAAATAATTGATCCTTCTTAATTTTTGAGTGCACAGTCTTATGCTATTCCACAATCTTAATTTTATTCTTAATTTTTGAGTGCACGGTATTCTAAATTTTATTTAGTAGAACAAAATATTGGTCTTTATAGTAAACATACAATAATTTCAACAAAAGTCGATATGTCCGAGTGGTTAAGGAGACAGACTTGAAATCTGTTGGGCTTCGCCCGCGCAGGTTCGAACCCTGCTGTCGACGTCAATTTTTTATTTTTATTTTTTTTTGCATAATTAATTTTCCAAAAATCCATAGAAGGAATTTTTGTAGCATATCCTCTCCAATTCACGCGCTTCTTTATTCAAAACAAAAAAACATTCTGAAATGAACCCACATATAAAAGTGGGTTGGTCTGCTCATTATTGTGTTCGTACATTCTTCGCCCGCACAGGTTCGAACCCTGCTGTCGATGTCAATTTTTTTATTTTTTATTTTTTTTGCATAATTAATTTTCCAAAAAGCCATAGAAGGAATTTTTGTAGCATATCCTCTCCAATATACTCATACTCGGTGTATTTTCACAAGTAGATACTATAAAGACCAGAATGTATACAAATCTTATCTCTGCTTCATGAAAATAGAGAGATTTTTTTCGAAAGGAAAACAACTCAAGCAACACAAGAAAATACTACTACTTGTTATGAAATTCATTGTATGAATGCCCATACATATTCACTAGTTCTATGAATCTTTTGTATGTTACAATTTCCCTATTAATTTGGTCACTTAACATTTGTAATATTTGGGTGATTTATCATCCTATAAATTAAGATGTCATTCACTTTTTAAAACATTTGTAGTACACTTGAATAAAATAATCTCTACATTCTTTTCTGCCGAACTTAATCGACCTTCTGGTAACATGGTCCACAATCAAATGAAATATTGAGGGTATGGTGCCTCAGTATTTTCCTTTTGGGACAAAAAACTATCAATACTCTGAAAAAAGATTTTCTAATAGAAAAAATAATTTGTGTTATTATACTATTTTATAGAACATAAATTTAAAAATTAAGAACTCATTAGACAAAAATGAAATTGTGATGCTGGGATTTTGAGCCGAGGCAAATGATATTTTAGTAGGTAAAAATTAGCACTTCAGGTCATGAGACTTGCGTTTCATATTTTGCAGTTTATATCTCACTAGTAAATTTGTTCGCGCTTCCCGCGATGTAAATTACATTTTATAAATTTGTTATTAATTGAAAAGTCAATTTATAATTATAGTTTTTTTTAAAAAAAAACACTTTAAATGTTATAAACTATATTTTAAAAATGCTCCTATTTGATTTGATTTTCATTCAACAATTAAAATTATGTTCAATAAATTTTTAATATGTTAGCTTTCATATAAAATGTGGCTTACAATAATATTTGAATTTGACTTAGTGGAATGAACAAAAAATTATAGGTACTTTAGATAAGTCGAAAATATTACAAATTTATAAATGATAACAATTTCTCAAACTTTTATCACTTGTTAATAAATCTTCTCAAATGGTAAATGATGTGTCAATCGTGTTCATTATCTTAGTATACTAAAAGTATATAAATAATAATATGGTTATATATGTTATATGAAGTAAAAAATAAATATATTTAGACTTTTTGTTTGTTGTTCTATTTTCCTTTCTGTTGTTAGTATAAGTTCTTATTAGTGTCAACATAATATAAATTGCATACACATTCTTTTTGTAAAATTAAATGATATGTAAATAACTTTTTTAATAACTATGATAATTTAATGTGAGTTATGACTATTACTAATTAAGAGTGAAAATAATGAAGATGGAGAAGTGTGAATTATGAGAAATATGACTTCTAAAAAAAAAAAGAAAAAAAAAGGAGGATAAAATTCTTGATGAAAGAGAAGTGTTACTTATTATTTTCCTTGTTATTTCTCAACTTTCTAAATATCTCTCATATTTTAAAAGCTAAAAACATCAAACATTAATAAGTAATACCATCATCTTCCTTGTTCAATAAGTATATTTTTGATTTATTTGTTGGGTCTCAAGTAACCCTAGTTACACTATTCTAAAATTTTAATT